TTGCCTCTTGCTTTCCTGCTTGTTAGAAGTCTTCGTCTGTTGTTCCAGTTTTTAAAAACTCTGGTGAGCCGTCTGACTATCGGCCTATTAGACTTCTGCTTCTGTTTACGAAAATCCTAGAGGTCCTAATCAATGCTTAATTGGTTCGTCATTTCTCATCACTGGACCTTTTCTTAAACAAGCAATACGGCTTAGGTTTCTCCAGATCAATTGCTGAACTACTAACGATAATTGCGGAAAGAGCCTATCGTGCTTTAGAAAAAAAAAATGGTGACTCCCAGGCTGTAGCATTACATATCTCGAAAGCCTTTGACAGGGTCTGATATTCAGATCAAGTTGAAAAACTACGGTATCTCCGGGCACATTTTTGAGCTGATCCAGTCGTTCCTATCAAATCGTGAAATGAACGTCACCCAGAACGACCACTCGTCTACATCCTTTCGTACTAATGCGGGCGTCCCCCAGGATTCCATCTATTTTTACTCTTCATTAACAACCTTCCCGACGTCAGTTCTCAACTTGTCATCTACGCTAACGCCATTACCATTTATTCTTGATTTGATTGTAAGGCTGATCAGTCAGACAAGCTCAAAATAGCAGTCTATGTACAAAACGACCACAAGACCGTCGTTAACTGGGTTAAAAGATGGCTTGTTAATTTTAATGCCTACAAAACAAAACTACTCGCTATTAATAATTTAAGAGACCCCTTTCTGTCTTCCATCACCATGGCTGATGCTAACCTCCAGGGGAATGATTCCTTGCGCCTTCTCGGGCTAACATTCTCGGCAGACATGAAGTGGAAAGACTATATTGAATCCATTGCTATGTCATCTGCCAGGATGGCTGGTTCACTGTGTCATGCTAAAAAATGACGAATATGTAAATTAAACAAAAATTGCATTCGCCTATTTATCACTGTTTCTCAATGGAACCCTCGCGACCTCTTGTGGAACCCCAGGTTTCGGGGATACGGCTAAGAAACACTGCGTTAGACAAAAGACACACTACGGGAATGATTGCATTAGATTATCGAATCGAAGTCCTTTAATATGGTGTTACATGGGGGGCGCTAACAAGCTCTCCATCTTTGGAATCAGTGGGAGAGTTTTCTCAATTATGATTTTCCTTTATATGTCCTCTCCCCTAACCAGTGAAGATGGTTTCAAACTGACGCCATGTAAACTTCGCTAAAATACATTCCCTATGATTATTATAATTTTAAATAATATAAAAGGTTGAAACCTTTATTATAATAATCAAGGGTTTTCCAACAATATGCCGTACGTGTTTAGTAATATTACGAATATGAAATTAATCAAAAATTACTTTAAAATGCATTAGCCTATTTATCACTGTTTCTCGATGAACCCCTAGCGATCTCTTGTGGAACCCCAGGTTTCCGGGGATACGGCTAAGAAACACTGCGTTAGACAATAGACACACTACGGGGGATGATTGCATTAGATTATCGAATCGAAGTCCTTTGATATGGTGTTACATGGGGTGGGGCGCTATACAAGCTCTCCATTTTTTGAATCAGTGGGAGAGTTTTCTCAATTATGAAGTCCTTTCTAACAGATAAGGTCGTTAATGACCGGTCCTCCGAGACTCATGAGATCAATTCCGGCATCCACCAGGGTTCACTTTTCGGTCCAACTGAACGACTGAATGATATAAAACAAAAATAACTTTTACAAACACTTTTTTTTTTAAATTTATTATTTTATTTGGATGGAACCATTTTTAAATCCAATTTCAGAATCTTCTGAAGCGATGTTCTGGTGATTCCTTGTTGAGCAGAGCGACGACAGGTAGAAGCTGATAGATCCTGAAGGACACTCTACCGTACAGCTCCCACCTCTGCATCAGTGCACACAGTGTGCTTGGGACCTTTTCCCAGAAGATCGTCGACTGATCCAGTTCTTTCAAACCGAGCGATTAGGTCCCGAATCATGATATTGCCAGGAGATACTCTGACATTAAAATGTTGCCGGTATTTTCTCTAAGTTTGTATAATTGATCTTTCATTGGAACAGAAAAAAAACTCAATGAGTTATACTCGTTACTGAACATCGTGCGTAGCCATTTTAATCTTCAATAGCCTGCAAAAAAGAAAATGAAAAAGAGTGAAAACTAAAAAGTTATGTCTTTTTAAAACCTTTCAGCATTTTCAGTAGCCACCCTGTATTAATGATCTGCCTAAGAACATACTCCGATCTCTTGCAAATATTCATGCAGATGATACAATACAACAGCATATGGGTGTACCCCCAATAATTCTCAATGACCAAAGACTCTGATTTGCTTCTCCATGACATTTATGCCGGCATTTACAAGGGTTCACTTATCGGTCCATCCATTTTCCGTTTTTTTTACAGGGTGGCCAATATAAAACAAAAATAACTTTTACAAACACATGTTTTTTTTATTATTTTTATAATTTTTTTAATTTTATTTAAGTGGCGGCAGCAGAAATATCGTTGAACTTTTTAAAAGGTAAGATTAAATATTTATCCAGTACTTAAATTCAGAGATCAGTTTGGAGTTCTTCTGTAGTTTATTGTTGCCTATCACATCCACTACTCCATACCTGTTGTGATTAAGGTCCAATTAAGAGTCTTCCACAATTTTTCGGACAATTATTTTCGGACAATGTTCGCATAATGGCTAAAACACGCAACACCGCGGACATTGAAACAGTGAATATAGAAGAGAGTGCTATTGCTGTGAAGGTCTGAGCTGGTAAAACTAAGAAACCTCATGTCATTCGTCCGAACAATTCTTTTGTACGATAACAATTTTTATTTATAACTTAGAAATAAATTTGGGAATAATCGAAATTAATTGCGAAATCCAGCGAAAGTCACCCATGAAATAAAAACAATTGTTTGTATGAAAAGTAAGGACCTACATACATTAAATTGTCTTTAAATTAAGAGGTAGCAGAATAATTATCGTTAAACTTTTAAAAGATAAGCTAATAAATCAATATTTAAAAATGCAGCCATCAATTTTCAGGTCTGTAATTTATTGTTGCCAATCACATCTACTCCTCCCTCTATGGCGGCTTTTAAGCTGGCTTAATATAATTGTCCTTTCGAATAATTTTTATTCAAATAATTTACAATTCAAATAAATGTTTTTCGGACAATTATTTTCGAACAATGTTTTCATAAGTTGAAGATAGTTCCACAAGCGAGAAATGTGATAGAAGCTGTTAGCATAGAACTTATGATTACTTCTGGCCATTTCAAACTGTAAAATGACGAGACCTAGGGCGGCTTTTATGCTAATTTAGTATAATTGTCCTTTCGATTAATTTTTATTCAAATAATTTACAATTCGAATAAATCTTTTTCGGACAATTATTTTCGAACAATGTTTCCATAAACATGTCCACCTCAAACGTCGGATCATGTCTAAATATGAGTTCTTTGTTTTTTGGTGACTGTTTAGCCTTTTGGCGTCGTAAGAGAAAATACCATTAAAGAGAAAGAAAAAATAAAATAATAACAATTAAGAAGACAAAAGATAACGATTGACATTGCACTTAAATTTTCGAAGATTAAAGCTGACTTGGAAACAAGAAGCCGAAAGAGAGTTCCATAAGTGAGAAGTGTGATAGAAGAAGCTGTTAGCATAGAACTTATGATTACTTCTGGCCATTTCAAACTGTAAAATGACGAGACCTTGGGCGGCTTTTATGCTAATTTAGTATAATTGTCCTTTCGATTAATTTTTCATTCAAATAATTTACAATTCGAATAAATGTTTTTCGAATAATTATTTTCGGACAATATTCACATAATGGCTAAAACACGCCACACCACGGACATTGAATCAGTCCACCACCATTGCTTTCGTATTCTTTTAGTAAGGATAGTTTCTTTCCAAGAAATGTTGCTTTGTGGAACAGAATCTCAGGAGGACGTTATTTCCGACCACTTTCTTCACCTCTTCATGTCTACTCTTAACCGTCATCTTCTTCACATATACGCATAAACAGCATCTTATCGTCTTAATGAGCACACAATAAACACAGATCTGAGGTAGAGTGGGACATAAAAGGAATACGATTGGAATAGTTTGCAACCGTGAATATAGAAGAGAGTGCTCTTGATGTGAAGGTCTGAATTGGTGAAACTAAGGAACTATTCATTCGTTCGGACATTTGCCAAAGTAATAGCGATATGTATATTAATAGTGAGAGGCGGGCAGTGTTTCGTCTGTGGGATTTCAGGATGGAGAATAGACGCTAGTCTTTGCTAAGACAGAGAAAACGTCGTGAGGGGATGGAATAAAGAAGTTGAACAAAATATAAAAAGAGACCGCGAAAAAAATACTTTGGAAAGCTGTTCAATGAAGTTAATATCGACTTTTTATTCTTGTTTTACGTGATAAATAGGGTGAACTTATTTTAAGGTTGGGGGAGTGCGTTTACCCAATGCACTTAGCTCGACCTTTATTTTGACGTAGTCTTTGCAATTAAACAACGTGAAATAAAAACACTGAAGTGCGAAGGGGGGAGGGGAATAAAAGAATGCGAGAAAATGAATATGTTTGAGTGCATAGTCTCAAGAAGAAATATGCACATGTGTGAGTGAGTGAGTGAGTGTGTGTGTGTGTGTGTGTGTGTGTGTGTGTGTGTGTGTGTGTGTCTAGCACGGTCAAAAACACTCCCACCGCTACAACATCAAGGACGCACCCACGAGTAGATTTACGTTCACTATTAAAACTTTCAACCTAAATTGGATATACATCCAACGAAATTATCTCCTAATAACACTAGCTGTTAATTTATTTAATTAAATCAAATTGTTTCAAGTCAGGATAATACTGTTGATACAATTTTGTTACACCCTTAAATACATACATCATAATAAAAAAAAATGCCGTTCATTGAAGTTCCAATGAACTCTTTCATTAACAAACATCATTCGATTATTGTAGCGGAATTTATACAAGGACACATGAACTGATAAATATAATTTCCAAGTATGTTGATCGCCTCCGATAATATTATCTCTTCTGCTACTGGAATCCAGCAACGTGATCCACTTGGTCCGCTACTATTTGCGATGGCTATTGACGGGGTAGCTCGTTCCATCGCTTCTCCTTTCAATATATGGTATCTTGACGATGCAACGTTGGGAGAATCCATCGAGGCCGTAGCTGCTGACCTCCGACGAGTTATTCTTGTTTTATCTCTGCTTGGACTTGAGATTAACTCGTCCAAGTCAGAGATAATAAACTTGAATTATAGTGCAGATGATTTCGAGAGTGCTATCCGGGATATTAGACTCATCCTTGAGGATATAAAAATAACACCTAAAGAGGAATTACACATTCTTGGTTCTCCAGTCTTTCCAATGGCCATTCGAGAGTGTTTGGATACTAAGCATGTCATTCTAATAAGAATGACTGAGAAATTGCAACTAATTGATGCACACCCAGCCCTCTTCCTCTTGAAGAACAGTTTTTCGCTACCGAGTTCCCTCTACACTCTCCGAAGTGCCCCTTGCTACCTCGAACAGAATTTCTTAAATGAGATAGATATCACAATTAAGAGATGCGCCGAGCTAATTTGCAACGTTAATTTCGCCGACACAGGGTGGAGGCAGGCAAAGCTCTCTTTGAGTTTCGGAGGCCTGGGCCTTCGATCAGCGGTGAAATTTGGCCCTTCCAGCATATCTTTCTTCACTTTCGTCCAGTCGCGAATTAATTGATGAGATACTCGGTGGATCGTCTCAGTGTTTCTCGGGTAGTTCTTTCGAACAAGCTTGCAGCGTCTGGGTCCAAGAATTACTTTCTATCCCACTAGACACATCAAAACAAAAAAGCTGGGTTAAAATAGAATCCGAGGCCAATTTTACTAATTTGAGGCTCTCTCTGGATCAGCATCGCCTCGCCTGTCTACTATCTGCTTCACAAGCGAGTAGCGGTGCCTGGCTCAACGCAGTGCTCTCTTCATCTATTCGTATCCTTTTAGATGATGAATGAACTCGGGTCGGAGTCGCGATCCGTCTTGGACTCAAATTATGTGAGCGTCACAGATGCAGATGTGAAGCTTCCATTGATGAGCTTGATTTGCATCCTCTCCTGTCGTCGTACTACCGGCCGCTTTCCACAGCATGCAGCAAAAAACATCATCAGAAGAGGTTTGGATGCAGCTGGGTCCCTTCCCAAATCGAACCCGTAGGCCTCGACCCTGGTGATAGAAAGCGGCCGGATGGCATTACCATTTTCCCTTTTAAAATGGAGAAGTCGTTTATTTGGGATGCGACCTGTGCGTATACATTTTCGACCCGTAATTTGATCGGGTCAGCGGTCGAGCCGGGGTCCGTCGCCACGGACGAAGAGATAAAAAAAAAATAGTTAAATATTCTTCTCTTGCTGATAGATTTTTTTTTACTCCTGTGGTAGTGGAGACTTCTGGGGTTATTGGCCCTCGTTCGATGGCGTGCCTTCGGAGGATTGGCGAGATTGTGTCTCGATTAAGGGACGAGCCACGCGAAACGGACTGGCTCTTGCAGCGTGTCTCACTGGCGATGGTTCGAGGTAATGCTTTCTCCATCATCGAGGCTGGCAGAGGATAGCAAAGAAAAAATGTTTATAGTTACTTTGTTCAAATTTTGTTTTTCAATAAATTTAAATATTATCTATAAATATAAAACCCCATTAAGGTAAAAAAGAGTAATGCTTACTGAAAGACTTGGGACGTAGGTTTACGTGTTGTTAAATTAGGAACACGTGTGTAACTCCTGATTAGAAAAGTCCACACCAAGAATATGGCGGACTCAAGTTGAGTCCATCCAAAGATATGTAAAAGAAACAAACAAGACCGATATATATATATATATATATATATATATATATATATATATATATATATATATATATACAACAAATATATGTATACAATCATCATTTGCGTTTGTGCGTGAACGTAAAGAGTTTGTATTTTGATGCATTTTCGTACGTACATACGTGTATGTGTGTTTCATGGCGTTTCCCCACAAGTGGGCAAAAACGCAGATCTCTGCGAGAGATCACATTTTTAAATGTGTCCGCTGAAATGCAAAGTAAAAAGAGGACGAGGCAAGAAATCGCCCAGTATTTATAGTGTATGGAGAGCGTCTCCTAGTGAACAATTTGGACAGTTAAGGAGGAGTTAACTCCGACAGGCTCATGAATTCATTTAATATAAAAACACAGTAGATTTAAACAGGAGGTTTTATTGGAGGTCTCGTGAATTCATTAATAAAAAAAACACACAAAATATCTAGCCGGTAGTTCTTATTGATGATAACATGAAATGATAATATGAAAATTCATTACATATAAAATACGGTTATTATTAAATATCTAAAGAATTCCTTAATATAAAAACCCTATAAGGTTTGAAGTTTAGTGCTTCTTGAAGAACTCCAGAATTAATTAATATAAAAACCCATTAGATCGAAAGAGTGGTACTTCTTGAAGGTCGACTAAATTGATGTCACTGGAATATTACGACATTGAAATAGAAATGAGAAAAGGAGATAAACATAGTAAATCTAAAAACTTGCAAAAAGCAGACGACATAATACGGCCGGAAATTCTTTTCTAGTTAATTAGTGAAAAGCAATTGCTTATAAAGAAAAAAAACTGGCAAAAGAAAAGTCAGGCAAAAGATTTTAAGAACATCGAAAGAATAGTGCCATGACCAGCATAGGACCAGATCTTTAATTCCAATTTCCATGTCACAAGAAAAGTAGAATTCATAAACTCTTTCAATGTAATGGGTTTTTATATTATTCAATTGACTTTTGATTTTTTTTTTTTTTTTGTGTATGCGTGCAGATTTTTGTAAATACAGACGCCCATACACGACATTATGAGAAAATAAGAGCGATGACTTTTGATTTTTTTTTGTGTGTGTATGCGTATAAATTTACCGATTTTAGTAAATACAGACCGCCATACTCGACATTATGAGAAACTGATTTTTTTTGCGTGTATGCGTAGAAATGTACCGGTTTTTGTAAATACAGACACCTATACACGACATTATGAGAAAATAAGAGCGATGTCATTTGTTTTTTTTTTATGTGTGTGTATGCGTATAAATTTACCGATTTTAGTAAATACAGACGGCCATACACGACATTATGACAAAATAAGAGCGATGACTTTTGATCTTTTTTTTTGCGTGTATGCGTATAAATATACCGATTTTTGTAATTACAGACACCCATAGAGGACATTATTAGAAAATAAGAGCGATGACTTTTGATTTTGTTTTGTGTGTGTATGCGTATAAATTTACCGATTTTTGTAAATACAGACACCCATACACGACATTATCAGAAAATAAGAGCGATGACATTTGATGTTTTGTGTGTGTGTGTGTGTGTGTGTGTGTGTGTGTGTGTGTGTGTGTGTGTGTGTGTGTGTGTGTAAATGTACCGATTTTTGTAAATTTTGTGAACAACTGAATTTGGAACTGGGTTTTCCTGGATAGAAAATGGTCGAGGTAGCAGGAGCAGATAAGACATTAAGGATGGACGAACAGCCCACGCTCACTGAAGAGGTCGCTGATAGCGGATAATAAAAGAGATGGTGGAGAGAGGGAATTTGCCAAAGTATGCTTCTACCTCGCCATACCCCCATGCCAGTTTGGGCAAATGTCCATAAATCCGAAATACGCGAAGAGAGACGAAAGGCAGAAGAGACGGAAACGAGACCAGAGACAAGAGAGAGGCCCACGTGATTTATCTGCCGACGAAACCCTCCGACTTCAGCCTTGTGCGAAACTTTACCAAAGCAGTAAACTAAACCTTACCAGGTCAACAACGAATATATCACTTCCAATTTAGATACGGGTTGGTCTGATAATTAATTGCATGTGAACTCTGATATATGCACTTATTGTACGAGGACTGATAAATAGAGTATTTACTTTTTGTTCAATTTATTCGTGTTATTTTTTTTTTTTTTTTTTTCCCTGTGAATCTTCGCCCTGCTTGAACCAGCCTGAGATTGAAAATGTCTGCGGTGATTCGGTTTTGGCCACCTTATGATCCAACTAAATCACAACATGGGATAGAACAGGTCTGAGATCGAAGTGATCATCACCGGTCAGCCGCTGTGTTGGATGTCTTGGACGGTCGGCTAGGGTGTTATAACTTCACATTCTCCTTTTTCACGACATTGAACTACAAAGATATTGAATACTATTCTAACAGTCTAATAGATTTATAATTTTAAACAAATTTATTGTCAATTTTTCAAGAAAAAATTGTATATATTCGATTGCTCACAATTATTCTATTTTTAAAGAAATAGTGGAAAAAATACATTTTTTTTCAAAATTTATAATTACATTTACTTGGTGTTTGTTGCCACAGCAGGTATTTACTACAAATATTGTGTTAAAAAACTTTTAACTATTGATTGAATCTGTGAATAAAGAAAATTTTAAATTAACATATGTCTAACACTTGTCTATATTTCTGAGATGAGGTATTATGTACATTATTTACATTATTCGGACTACTGTCCTCATCTTTGTCGCTATATTTATTACAGCGTTTCGGCCGTTGTACGCTCCGGCCTTCTTCAAGTGGTTAGAATGTCGAACTGAAACCTTTATTTCGCTCACTGGAGTAGACTGTTCTAGTTCCACGTGCCATGTTTAATGGATGTCAGTTATCAGTTATCTGCTGTTAATTTTCCCTCTGAAAGTTCCCCACTTCCTTAGCCGGGTATTGAACACACATTGTTTTGGTCATGTCACTGGATCTAACTAACGCCTTTATCCACTGTGCCATGTGTCCTTGAGGGCAATAAGGAAATAAAGGGTCCGGTTCGACATTTCAACCACCTGAAGAAGGCCGGAGCGTACAACGGCCGAAACGCTGTAATGAATCTTTCGACAAAGATGAGGACGATTAATGTAAATAATGTCTAACACCATATAATATATCAGAGGTGGCTGTCAAAATTCACAGCATCTTCATACGTTTCATTTGACCTGCTTAGAGCATCCTGATTGTCTGCAGACTTAAAGGTCAAATCCACAATCCTGAAATCTTGAATTCTCAAAATTTTCATTAGTTTCGATTGTTTTCGGCGATATTTTTTATCTGATTTTTTGCGACGAAAAATTTTGATAACTTGGAAATAAATTTGGGAATAATTGAAATTAATTGCAAAATCCAGTCAACCATGAAAAAATATTTGTTTGTACAGAAGGTAAGGACCTACTCACATCAATTTTTGTTAAAATTAAGTGGCGGCAGAAGGATTATCGTTGAACTTTTAAACGGTAAGCTTATATATTAGGGCAGCGATCAAGTCTGAATTCTTCTGTAGTTTATTGTTGCCTACCGAATCTATTCTTCCCTTACTAATTTGATGAAAGGCCAATTAAGAACGCTCCGCGAAACTATCTGAAATGCTGCCCGACAAGGCGTCTTTTAAGCTAGTATATATATATATATATATATATATATATATATATATATATATATATATATAAGAAAATAACAATACTGTAGCCTGACGATTGCGTCTAGCATGAAACAGACTGTCGCCTCTGACTTCTATGTTCACTTTTATATTTACACACGCTCTATCTCTGATATTGACCACTTTATCCCATTAATATAGCACACCTTAAGACTATATATATATATATATATATATATATATATATATATATATATATATATATGTGTGTGTG